TCACTTCACTCATTGGTACAATTATTTGTTGGTGGGTTTATCATTGATGAAATCATGGCTTGTTTCACCATCATGTGTTGTTATGGTGAAACGGGTTTTGAGAAGTGTTATTTTGCTTACTTTCAAAATTTATATTCTCAGAAAAATAAACTGCTTTTGAACTTTTTTTTAACATTTATGCTTTACACAGAGCCTGACCTCACATGCTAGAACAGTCAGTGGTTTAGTCTCCAGTACCTGTAGGCAGAATGCATTGCCTTGTGTTTTAGTCATCACATTTCACCAATGGTTACCTCCCTTGGCTCGCATTCATAATCACCAACACTGGTCTTGCAGACACAAAGCCTTGTTCATGGGTTTTACAGAGGTAGTATGTCCACTAGAATTATTTGGTCCTTCGTCCATTAAGCTGAAACAATATGAAAATGAAATTCTGTTCAAAGCGGCATTAAACCTCCTCAATCAAATTAGGTAGCAAAAATTATCTAGATTATTTCTTGTTGACATATCAGTCTAAAGATTCTTGGCACTGTGTGTTAGCTCATTGAGCCAAAGTCCTAGGTTTGAATCCAATGTGAGGACCCAAGCATGTCCTTTGCTGTAATTGTGATGCCTGTGTGTCTGGTATGAGCTCTGTTGAGTCTTCATTTTGTTGCGACCCGTGAAGATCCAGGTAGAATAGGTCTTCAGCAACCCATGCTTGCCGTAAAAGGCGACTATGCTTGTCGTAAGAGGTGACTAACTGGATCGGGTGGTCAGACTCGCTGACTTGTTCGATGCATGTCATTGTATCCAAATTGCTTGGAGCAATGCTCATGATTTCAATCACTGGATTGTCTGGTCCAGATTCGATTATTTACAGAACGCCATCATATAGTTGGAATATTGCTGAGTGTGGTGTTAAACAACAAACAAACAAAACTCATATTGTTGTTCCATTTGCTATGAGCTATGTTTAACCTTGACTGGAACCTATTGTTATGTATCATATTAAATATATCCCACCATATATTGTGTCAAATGTCATTAAAAGTGAGTTAAGGCACATTTCAGAGTCGAATTCAAAGTTGAATATTTTATGCAAAAATAGATTCAATCTTCAAAAGAAATTTGACTCCAGATCATTTTCAAGGCAATGCACTGTGTACTTATGCCTGTTACTTATTATGCTGCTTATATCAGCTGTCAGTGCTACTGTTATGTGTTGATACAATGACATATCATGTTGAGAGGACTGTGTCTATATGTATATAGTGAACACCTGTTATGCTGTGTACAGTTTCTCATGTGTCTCTTGTAGAGGAAAGTTATGGGGATGAATTAAAATACTTTTAGACATGCTTTGTTGTTGTTGTTGTTGTTGTTGTTTGTCTTTAAAAAAAACATAAATTATAAAAATATATCGCCAAGTTGTCATGGCCTAGGGCCATCATCCTTTGATGTAAATATTTCTGGTCCAGACTTGTTTATATACCACTTAAAAGGAGTTAAAGATCACCTGTTTTTTTAGTATTACCATAGTTAATCTGTCATGGCAAAAGATGTTAAGGAATGTGATTCTTTTTTAATATTACAACAGTTAATCTTAACTATATTAATATGTAAGAATCGAGGATTCTTTAACTTCTTTTGAGTAGTATATATACATGGCATGAGGAAAACAATGAAGCACTACTTGCTTTTTATGTATTTTCATGTATGGCTACTTTAACAAATTGGATACATTGTAATTTTCGGATAAAATACATGTGCCATTCTTGTATCGAATTACAGGTTCAGTAGGGTAGCCTTGTGGTTAAAGCGTTCGCTCATCATGTCGAAGACCCGGGTTTGATTCCCCAAATTGGTACAGTGTGTGAAGCCCAATTTAGGTGTCCTCTGTCGTGATATTGCTGGAATATTGCTAAAAGCAGCATAAAACCATACTCACACACACTCCAACACCTTACATGTTAACTGACCCCTCGGCCAAGTCCCCTTTTTCAAATACTCGGTCTGCTCCTGCATGGCAATAGTTGTTGCCTATCGTTTAATTTGTTTCATCTGCTTCTGATATGAAAATATGAAAATAAAGAAGGGGTGGTATTTACCTTTCTTCCAGGTGTAGATTTAGTCAGCTTGCTAGTTCATCAATGGGATTTAACCACTGGCTCCGAAGGAGAAATCTGCACAGTGCTGTTAGCAAGGGAGTGAGCGAGTTGGGTTCAACCCTGCCTTTAACATTATTGCAGTCACATCATGGTCAGCTTAATACGGGAGGAAAGCCTGAAGTGATGCAGCTGTCAGACATTTACCACTTTGTTGAAACCCAGGAGCCCGGGTATGGTGCTGACAAACCTAGAAAATTAACCAGGATTCGAACCCACAGTCGTAGATTTCTGGCGTGCCCAAGGGACGCAATTCTGCACAGCGAATCGCATCGCCTTAGACGACTGGGCCACCCGTGCCCCCCACAGTGCTGTGATTTTATACTGGGTGAGTAAATGTTGTTTAAAGCCTCAGTCAACATTTTCAGCTTTACCACAGCGGCCTGCTGAATATCAAATCTGGGCAGGTAAACCAGTAACTGAAAGCATGCGCATCATTCTGCACCATTTGGGCAAATGACATCAAGTTAACGAAGTTGGAGAATTTGGCCCCCCAAGCACATAAGCAGGACCCAGGTTCTTGCCTCACCATATTCTGTCAGCCCCATACTTGCAATCGTGTTTCTCGTTTAATAAGTGAGTGAGTTGGGTTTAACACTTCTTTTAACAATATTCCTGTTATATCGTGGGATGAAAACCCGAAGTGATGCAGGTCTCGGACGTTCACCACTTCGGTGAAACCCACGAGCACGGGTATGTTGCTGACAAACCTAGAAACATAATCGGGGCGAACCGGGATTCGAACCCACATTCATAGGTTTCTGGCGTGCCCAAGGGCCGCAACTCTGCACAGCGAATCGCGGCGCCCTAGACGACTGAGCCGGGCCACCCGTGCCTCCCGTTTAATAAGTGGTAATGGATATCTACAATTTGGCCAGACCATGATCTTTGGTATGTCAGCACTATATACCAGGGGTGATTGATAACTTCTCAGCCTCAATTAGAAAGACTTGACCTAAAGGCATTAAAATGATTTATTTTTCAGCATGATCTCTACCCACATTCATACACTTTTGCCAACGATGTTGGAGGGATTTTATCCTAGTTTCGTAGAAGTTCTTCTCATGTCTGTCCATACAGTTCTCCGCAGCTGCTGTGACGCCGTCGTTCGAGTCGAAATTGGCACTGTTTAGAGTTTTCATCATGTTTGGGAACAGACGAAAGTTTGACGCAGCCAGATCAGGAGGATAAGCTAGGTGCTGAAGAAGTTTAGAGCCACACTATCAAAGATAGTAGCCATGGCAATAACTGATTTGCGCATGTGCTGATGGAAGAGCACACCCTGTGACCCTGTCACTGCTTAAAACTCCCCTTAGTGTTTATGTGCTCCCATAATTTCCTCAACATGCATCATTATATGTTCCGTTTATCATCTGGCCATTTAAAAGATAGTCCATCATCATGATGCCACCCGTATCCCAGTTCACGGAGGTCATAACCTTTACAGAGACTCAGGCTGGAAGTGGTGGACCAAGGTTTCATCCATAGTCACTAATTGTTGCAAGAACCTTTATGGATCAGCTCCAAACGGCCAGTTTATCATGCGACATGCTTTCTCATCAGATGTCTGAAGCTTTAGAATCCAACGAGCTGATACTTTCTTCATTGCTTCAAGTTACTGTGATAGTAGACCGCCTCCGTGGTCTAGTGGTAGAGCGTCTGCCCAGAGAGCGGAAGGTCAGGGGTTCAATCACCGGCCGCGTCATTAACAAAGATGCCTGGGCTAAAAGGGCTAAAACAAGGACTGGTCGGTTCTGAGTCAGTATACTGTGTGTCAGGTGTTCATGTTAAACTGCGGCATGGAATTCCAGTGGGCTAGCACAATAAGATTGGCATTAGTCCGGACTAGTACAAGCAGCCACAGCCACAGCCACACACACACACACGCGCGCGCACACACACACACACACACACACACACACACAAACGTGCTTCCACGTCGCTATTAGTGCAATAATCTTTAACGCGCCGTACCATGACGCTCTTAGTCATTTGGCGGTCGGTCATCACTTTATCGTGGATCATCTGGATCATTTCCGGTATTGTTGAGGTGACAGGTCTTCCAGGATGGGGTCGTCTTCAAGATTTTCCCTGCCAGGTTTAAACCCTGCTGCCCACCTATTTACGATGGGATAGGAAGGGGCATCCTCGCCTAGTGTTGTATTCATATCTTCATGGATGACTATTGGTGTTAAGCCCTTTTTCGTAAGTACTTGATCACTGAACGTTCCTCATTTTTTCGCCATTTCAAAAAGGTCACAAACCTAAAAGCGGCGTAAGACCTTGATATAACTGTAATAATATCCATGGTGGCGTTAAACCTAACTAGATCAGCCTATCAATACATCGGAACAGTCCCAGAATGGGAGAGATGTTTCTTTGTTGTTTAACGCCGCACTCAGCAATATTCCAGCTGTATGACGGCGGTCTGTAAATAATCGAGTCTGGACCAGAAAATCCAGTGATTGACATAATGAGCATCGATCCACGCAACTGGGACACGATGACATGCATAGAGCATCAACGCAATGCAAGGACTGATTCGTCCAATAACTAACGCCAAGTGTGTTACCATACACTCATCTCCGTGGCAATTCTAACTTAGGATAGGTCCTCAGCAACCTATGCTGGTTGAAAGAGGCGACCAAATGGATCAGCTGGTCAGACTCGACTTGGTTGATGACTTGTCGAATCCGGATGGCGTTGATCGTTGCTCACAATATCACTGGATTGTTTGGTCCTGACTCGATTATTTACAGGGCGCCGTCATATATCTGGAATCTTGGTGATTGCAGCGTTAAACAACAAACAAACAAACAAACCATAGATTGAAATAAAGATGTGAACACTGAGTGATAGATAAAATTTAATGCCGACAACATCATAGATAACCATGATAACAGTACATACAAGGAATGAACACATGACTCAAAGTGTAAGTATAGGGTGATGTAGCTCTATACAACAGACCCACACGTAACGCCCTGCTGCTAATGTGGTATAAAAGATCAGTACACAGAGTTGCTTCGTTATATACCGCTCAACCTTTATAGCAATAGTGAAATCTGTCAATCCGGATGTTATATTCATATAAGTAATAACTTGATGTATCATTGAACGATACAGATGTCCTTATCAAATGTCCCAATCACAATCGCCAATAGTCTGTCTTACAGACCCTGATACAAATATATATCAAATACAGCCCATGCAAGTCTATAATGTTTGGCAAGTCTAGATCACTGCAGTAAAATGAAGAGTCACTGGGCTCCTTTTTATTATATTTTTATTAAGATAACTGAACAACTGTTTTTTTTATGTAAGATATGTTCATTTCAGAGACTAGATTTTAGTCTAAATCGCCGACAATAGGATAACTTACGCATGTTGTATTATCGCAAAACGAAGTTACCAGTCACTAAATATCAGTTAGTTATAGGAACAATAAGCTACTAAGTAAGTTGTAAGTTTTGATCGAGGTTGAGATTTGATTGAACTCGTACCTAAAATGTTAAACAAGAGGCCCTCTACACATGCTTCCTCTGCGTGGACCACATAGTCCTTTTTGGATGAAATATGGTGGCCGAGAGGATTCATCGCTTTCTCGCGAGAACGCGATAACACGAGACGAGAAAGCGTTGTTGCTTTCTCGTCTCATGCTATCGCTTTCTCGTCTCGTTTTATCGCATCCTCGCGGCCGTAATTGAAGGCGAGAAAGCGATGTCCCCTCTCGGCCACCATAATGGATCATGTTGAAGGTATATGAGTACGTTGAAGGTATATAAGTACGTTTTCACCATTTGACGACCCTTGGGATTTGTTTAAGAACCACCTACTTGTATATATGACTACGGCAGTGAGTGAGTTGGACCTGACAATAAATATTCAAGTATTTTCAGGCACAAAATATTTTAGAAAACTGAAAACTGCTATGAATAGTAAAAGAGAGTGAACTGTTTTTAACAGTATTCCAGTTATATCACGGCGTGTCAGCTTGATGTGGGAGGAAAGCCTGAAGTAATGTAGGTCTCAGACATTTACCTCTTTGGTGAAACCTACGAGCACGGGTATGGTGCTGACAAACTCAGAAACATAATCGGGCGAACCGGTATTCAAACTCAAGATCATAGGTGTCAGTATTTCAGTTACTTCAAGGCGTGTCAGCTTGGTGTGGCGAGGAAAACCCGAAGTGAATCGATGCATGCCTTGGGCGTTTACCGCTTTAGGGATCCCACAAGCATTGGAATGTGACTTGTTCATATTTTGTACTGAAGCACCTGGTATGGTCGATTTAGGGAATAACAATATCAAGACACATCAGGTCTGACCAAAGAGTCCCTATATTCACCAACCTTGTCAGTAAACAGCACAACGTAAGAACAGTTTGTAAAATGAAGGAAGACAATATATAACAACAAAACCCACAACAAATTAATTCAAGGGGTTACTTGAGTAAGACACAACATAGCTGTCAAAGCGCACTGGATAAACCCAATGGGTCTGACAAGGCTCAGGAAAAGAGCGAGAAAAAAGATCTGTGGATAATTACATGTAATTTCAATCATGGCTTTCAAAACATTATTCATCAACAACCTGCCTTGTTTTTCGAAAAAAGTGAAAAAACGATGAAATATGTATTGTGACCCAAATAATATCTTTCATCATCAGAGTCTTATACAATACGGGGATAATCTCATCGCCGACAGAATGAAAACATGGTCGGTAGTGCTTCTTTTCAGAAGGTCTTTATGTCCATCAGATAATGCCATATATGCTGGGTCGAGATGGTCCTCACATACTCACTGAAGACTGACTAGCTGACCCACCTCCACAGACAACTGAAGGTCCTCCGTCACGGCTAGTGTGTGACCCACCTCCACAGGCAACTGAAGGCCCTCCGTCACGGCTAGGGCTGACCCACATCCACAGACAACTGAAGGCCCTCCGTCACGGCTAGTGTGTGACCCACCTCCACAGACAACTGAAGGTCCTCCGTCACGGCTAGTGTGTGACCCACCTCCACAGGCAACTGAAGGCCCTCCGTCACGGCTAGGGCTGACCCACCTCCACAGACAACTGAAGGCCCTCCGTCACGGCTAGTGTGTGACCCACCTCCATGGACAACTGAAGGTCCTCCGTCACGGCTAGGGCTGACCCACCTCCACAGGCAACTGAAGGCCCTCCGTCACGGCTAGGGCTGACCCACATCCACAGACAACTGAAGGCCCTCCGTCACGGCTAGTGTGTGACCCACCTCCATGGACAACTGAAGGTCCTCCGTCACGGCTAGTGTCCGACCCTCTTCACAGACAACTGAAGGCCCTCCGTAACGGCTAGTGTGTGACCCACCTCCACATGCAACTGAAGGCCCTTCGTCACGGCAAAGGGCTGACCCACCTCCAGACAACTGAAGGCCCTCCGTCACGGCTAGCGTGTGACCCACCTCCATGGACAACTGAAGGTCCTCCGTCACGGCTAGTGTCCGACCCTCTTCACAGACAACTGAAGGTCCTCCGTAACGGCTAGTGTGTGACCCACCTTCACAGACAACTGATGGTCCTCCGTCACGGCTAGGGCTGACCCACCTCCACAGACAACTGAAGGTCCTCCGTCACGGCCAGGGCTGACCCACCTCCACAGACAACTGAAGGTCCTCCGCCACGGCTAGGGCTGACCCACCTCTACAGACAAATGAAGGTCCTCCGTCACGGCTAGGGCTGACCCACCTCCACAGACAACTGAAGGTCCTCCGTCACGGCTAGGGCTGACCCACCTCCACAGACAACTGAAGGCCCTCCGTCACGGCTAGGGCTGACCCACCTCCACAGACAACTGAAGGTCCTCCGTCACGGCTAGGGCTGACCCACCTCCACAGACAACTGAAGGTCCTCCGTTACGGCCAGGGCTGACCCACCTACACAGACAACTGAAGGTCCTCCGTCACGGCTGGGGCTGACCCACCTCCATGGACAACTGAAGGTCCTCCGTCACGGCAAAGGGCTGACCCACCTCCACAGACAACTGAAGGCCCTCCGTCACGGCAAAGGGCTGACCCACCTCCATGGACAACTGAAGGTCCTCCGTCACGGCTAGGGCTGACCCACCTCCACAGACAACTGAAGGTCCTCCGTCACGGCAAAGGGCTGACCCACCTCCACAGACAACTGAAGGTCCTCCGTCACGGCTAGGGCTGACCCACCTCCACAGACAACTGAAGGTCCTCCGTCACGGCTAGGGCTGACCCACCTCCACAGACAACTGAAGGCCCTCCGTCACGGCAAAGGGCTGACCCACCTCCATGGACAACTGAAGGTCCTCCGTCACGGCTAGGGCTGACCCACCTCCACAGACAACTGAAGGTCCTCCGTCACGGCTAGTGTGTGACCCACCTCCATGGACAACTGAAGGTCCTCCGTCACGGCTAGTGTGTGACCCACCTCCACAGACAACTGAAGGTCCTCCGTTACGGCTAGTGTGTGACCCACCTCCATGGACAACTGAAGGTCCTCCGTCACGGCTAGGGCTGACCCACCTCCACAGACAACTGAAGGTCCTCCGTTACGGCCAGGGCTGACCAACCTCCACAGACAACTGAAGGTCCTCCGTTACGGCCAGGGCTGACCCACCTACACAGAAAACTGAAGGTCCTCCGTCACGGCTAGTGTGTGATCCACCTCCATCGACAAGTGAAGGTCCTCCGTCACGGCTGGGGCTGACCCACCTCCACAGACAACTGAAGGTCCTCCGTCACGGCTAGTGTCCGACCCACCTTCACATATAACTGAAGGTCCTCCGTCACGGCTAGGGCTGACCCACCTCCACAGACAACTGAAGGTCCTCCGTCTCTAGGTTCTGACGTCCTTGGTCTTATACATCATTACAAGGAAAAGTCACTGTATAGAAAATACTGGATTGACACATGTCAAACAGGACCGATAAATAAGGGTGTTGGTCCTTGGGGCTTGATCCAGAATTGTGTAAAATCACTTGATCTAATAACGTGCGAAATCGGATCATTTGGGAAGCGCTCGTAAACTCTCCAACATCATCATCTCATTAATACGCCGAATAAAGTGGTGCAATTCATATTGCATTGTATTGTATATTGTGTTACAATAATCATATGGCAAATATATATAAGAGAATGCATGTTACATATATCAAATATAATAATACATTTTGAAGTAAGGGTTATGTCCAGATGAAAGCAATTTTATTGCTTAAACATCACGTGACCTTATTTCCTTTATCATTGAACGTCCATCTTTGATTACATCTGTAAGCTTACTACAGTAACAAAGGCAGGATTGACTAACGGATTTCAAATCCTTTAAATATGCGACGTTTCCGTACAACTCTTCGTTAATACTAAATCTTCTAACTGCCACTTTGAAATAACTTTAATAACAATGGTCAAATCATGCCAATAGAAGCGACAAACCATTTCCATAATCATAAGAAATATATGCCAAAAGCAGATAATGTCATGATCTTCTCTCCTGGAAATAGGCCACCATGGAAGTCATACAAGACGGCACAATAAGAAAACCCGAAAATGATAAGGTCTGTATACAGATATTAAAATAGACACAGTGTTTCTACAATTGCACAATATTTAAATATTTTACCAAAATATACGCTTTGACTAAAAATACAACTGAAACGATAAACAAGGACAGGGTAATAAATAAACGTGATTGGGGGATACTAGTATTATAATCCGATTCTTCATTTAAAAGATATATACGTTATACATTTAGTAGTATAAATAGGCATACATAAATGTATCTTTATATTTGCATTGTACGAAATATACTTTATATCCAGTTTTCATCAGAGAAATATATGCTTGGACTGAAAATATATAATTAATGGTGGCGTAAAGAGGTGTTCTTGAAACATAACTAACAATATTGTTGTTGTCATAATTCGAATTGTTACATAATATAAAAAAAAAATCGCTAACGCCAGAGAATAAACAGTCTCGATTATCTGCCGATATTTCATTGGGCGTAGAATTCAAAATAGTTGTGAAAATTATAAGAATGGATCACTGAAAATCTTTAGTTACTCCTGCAATACGATAGCGAGTATACTGATTTGAAATGAGTCAGCAGTACATATATTTATACATACATGCATTGTTAAGACCACATGGTACGCCCAGTGTTCGAAATAGCTGCCTGTCGGTTAGCCAAATGAAAGTAACCTTTATATTGGGCTAGTAACAGTTAGTAAAGCTGGTCCGACTGTCCACTTGAAAATTCAATACATACCCATATTTATACGAATCATCAAGTTTTCATTTTGTAGTTTATTGTTTTGGGCTAATAAAATATGATGAGGGCTTGCAACATTTTTGCAACAAGCCCTCCTGGCCAGTGAACTTGGAAACTAATTAACAGAGGGTTCGCCACACAATATCAATCTGCCAGTCCCGCACAAGATCAGAGAGAAAAAAGTATAATATTTGTATAGACTATAGATGTTATAGCAGCAAACACTGTCAATAGGCGAGCATCCTATGGATGTACCAGTAAGTCTGTTCCCACTAGGGTGTTGCCACATTCCTGCTAGGCCCACGGTTTAAAGGCAAGGCTCCTGGAGTGTGTGACATTGGGGCAGAGGCCGAGGTATATTCCTCACGGGTCTCAAATATATCCTCCCCCTGCAAGACACGCATGGTTATATTCAGTATTAATGCAAATGATTCAACCATCAAATATGCATCCATGCAAACTGTTATAGTCAAAACTTCTTTCAGGCCAACCAGGTCGACCTGAAACGACTTATATGGCCCGTCTGTACGCATTGCTGCTCAATGTCTGACAGATCAAATCGAGGTTGTCATTTCTCTTTGGTTATATGGGAAACTCCTACAATGAATAACTGCACAATTTGTGTTTGTCACCCCACCTACTGGAGCGGAACAAGTGAGTCAGGATCAGCCCAGAGTTTTGCATCAACATACCGTATGAACACAATGGGTTCGTATGAAGTTTATGCTATCGAGTAGGTCAAGACGTGTGATGTAAGTGTTCGTGAATGCAGACCTTTTAATTCCATGTATACCGGGACCAGAAAGAAATGTGCGTGGGATAAAATGACATGCGCAGTTTCTTTCTTTCTTATTATACTCGACATTCAGGAGTTGTTTGTCGAAGGTTAAGATAACTGAAGTTGAGTAGACGGAAATTTGTAAAGTTGCATAGTGATATTCTGAACAACATAAATGTGCTCTCGTAACCAACCATTGGTCTGTGAAAACATACATTAGGCATTTTGTGAAACCATGGAGCACACAATAGGGTCATTGTGGTACGTTCGTACTGTACGTTATAAAACTAGAATGAGTATATCGTGTGATTTGTTTTACATATAACAGGAAAGCAGCTGCCACCAGAGGTTCATATCCCATAAGAAAATATGTTAAATACATCAAATAAATATTGCATATACTTGTACGTAAGATCGCCCCTTCTAAACAAAACCTAGTTGTCAGTCGTGTAGCTGAAGGAGGTTTTGATCATCACCTAATGTGTCCTGTCCATGTGGAAAGTCATCAATCTCCATCGATTCCTGGCCCAGCTCGGAAAGTTGTTCCATGTCGTCTGCTTCTTGGGAAGCTAATCTTTCATCCTCAGCTGCATTCAAGATTTGCTGAATCTGACCTTGGCTGGGTATATTCGTGATCTGCTCTTGACTGGGTATATTCGTAATCTGCTCTTGATTATGTAAATGTTCCATATGCTCTTCACGATGTTCCCTAGCCGAAAGATTCTTCTTCAACTCAAACAGATACGACCCATGGCCCTTCGTACCACCAAATACAACGACAACACAATCTTTACTTCTATGGGCAACGAATATTCTGTCTCTACTAGGAGAGGTCCCAACCAGCGTCTTGGAGTTGCCCTGAAAGCAAGTATAGAAGTTATTGTCCATGTGTATCCTTGTGACGGACTTTGCTGGGTCCAAGATGCTCCTAACCAGAGCCTGTCCTTCCTCCACGGATACCTGAAGGTCCTCCGTCACGGCTAGCGGTTGACCGTCCTCGGCCAACACTGCTGCTTTCTGTATCTTGTGGGTCGTTGCCAGCATGTGCTTGATAAACTCAGGCCAAGTCATGGTGGCTGAAATGAGAACACAGTTGATGAAGTCAGTGACTGAACAGGGTTGATGAAGTTAGTGGCTGAACAAGATTGATGAAGTTAGTGGCCGAACACGATTAATGAAGTTAGTGGCTGAACAAGATTGATGAAGTTAGTGGCCGAACACGATTAATGAAGTTAGTGGCTGAACACGATTGATGAAGTTAGTGGTCAAACACGATTGATGAAGTTAGTGGTCAAACACGATTGATGAAGTTAGTGGTCAAACACGATTGATGAAGTTAGTGGCCGAACACGATTGACGAAGTCAGTGGCCGAACACGATTAATGAAGTTAGTGGTCAAACACGATTGATGAAATTAGTGGCCGAACACGATTGACGAAGTCAGTGGTCAAACACGATTGATGAAATTAGTGGCTGAACACGATTGACGAAGTCAGTGGCCGAACACGATTAATGAAGTTAGTGGTCAAACACGATTGATGAAATTAGTGGCCGAACACGATTGACGAAGTCAGTGGTCAAACACGATTGATGAAATTAGTGGTCAAACACGATTGACGAAGTCAGTGGTCAAACACGATTGATGAAATTAGTGGTCAAACACGATTGACGAAGTCAGTGGCCGAACACGATTGATGAAGTTAGTGGCCGAACATGATTGATGAAGTTAGTGGTCAAACACGATTGATGAAATTAGTGGCCGACCTAGATTGATGAAGTTAGTGGTCAAACACGATTGATGAAGTTAGTGGCCGAACATGATTGATGAAGTTAGTGGCTGAACACGACTGATGAAGTTAGTGGTCGAACACGATTGATGAAGTTAGTGGCGGAACATGATTGATGAAGTTAGCGGCTGAACACGATTGATGAAATTAGTGGCCGAACACGATTGATGAAGTCAGTGGTCAAACACGACTGATGAAATTAGTGGCCGAACACGATTGATGAAGTCAGTGGTCAAACACGATTGATGAAATAAGGGGCTGAACTAGATTGAAAAAGTCAGTGGCTGAACACGATTGATGAAGTTAGTGGTCAAACACGACTGATGAAATTAGTGGCCAAACACGATTGATGAAATTAGTGGTCAAACACGATTGATGAAGTCAGTGGTCAAACACGACTGATGAAATTAGTGGCCGAACACGATTGATGAAGTCAGTGGTCAAACACGATTGATGAAATTAGTGGCCAAACACGATTGATGAAGTCAGTGGTCAAACACGACTGATGAAATTAGTGGCCGAACACGATTTATGAAGTTAGTGGCCGAACACGATTGATGAAGTCAGTGGCTGAACACGATTGATGAAGTTAGTGGTCAAACACGATTGATGAAGTTAGTGGCCGAACACGATTGATGAAGTTAGTGGCCGAACACGATTGATGAAGTTAGTGGTCAAACACGATTGATGAAATCAGTGACCTTTGTTACTGAACCTTGAACAAAAGTAACGGTTAAAAAAAAAGTTTCGCCTGATCATTTTTTTACTGACACTGAACATTTCAAGGCGTATTAGTAACAATATGCGTGTGATGCACGTGGAATATTATTAACATCATGCCTGTGGTGCACGAGGCATTTTATTAACATCATGTCTGTGTGCACGAGGCATATTATTAACATCATGGTTGTGGTGTACGAGGCATATTATTAACATCATACCTGTGGTGCACGAGGCATATTATTAACATCATACCTATGGTGCACGAGACATATCAGTAACATCATGCCTGTGGTGCACGAGGCATATCATTAACATCATGCTTGTGGTGCACGAGACATATCAGTAACATCATGCCTGTGGTGCACGAGGCATATTATTAACATCATACCTGTGGTGCACGAGGCATATTATTAACATCATACCTGTGGTGCACGAGACCCTATTAACATCATGCCTGTGGTGCACGAGGCATATTATTAACATCATACCTGTGGTGCACGAGACATATTATTAACATCATGCCTGTTGTGCACGAGGCATATCAGTAACATAATGCCTGTGGTGCACGAGGCATATCAGTAACATCATGCCTTTGGTGCACGAGGCATATTATTAACATTATGCCTGTGGTGCACGAGACATATTATTAACATCATGCCTGTGGTGCACGATGCATTTTATTAACATCATGCCTGTGGTGCATGAGGCATATCAGTAACATAATGCCTGTGGTGCACGAGGCATATCAGTAACATCATGCCTTTGGTGCACGAGGCATATTATTAACATTATGCCTGTGGTGCACGAGACATTTAATTAACATTATGCCTGTGGTGCACGAGACATTTAATTAACATCATGCTTGTGGTGCACGAGGCATATTATTCAGAGAATGTACGACTACTGTGGTATATCATAAACCTTTTAACGTGATGAACTTGGATTACTATTAACAATATGGATGATTGATGCATATGTCATATTATGAAAACCAAGCATTAGTGAGGTGAGTCACTTAAAATGTCACGTCACTTGGCAATATGTAGACTAACATTTATTCTATGAAATATTATATCACACAATACCTTTCTTGACTCTAAAAATAAAATATATATTTTCCCTATACTGTGGAGTACAGCTAGCTGGAGCTGGCTAGACTTGCTTTATTATGCGTTTCTAGATTGTTTTTCGTTCATAAAATAAATACATTCCACAGTCATGGTGCAGGACTAGGCAATATGTTTCTGCCATATTAGCACGAGATAAACGTGGTACGTTATAAGCAATACACGTGTTAATACACATGCACGCCGTATATTACCCCATGCATCAAATACACGTGTAATACTATCAACACAATACATGTGAGCTGCGTGGTTTATTATTAACTCGAAGCACGTGATGCACGTGATTCAAATGGTCAGTCTGAATATCATCTTCAGTACCATCCGTTTGTTCGGTACAGACTGTAAGATACAGACATCCCATGTTAGTGAGAGAGTAGATTCATTTTAGAATCAAAAGGGTTAAGGACAGTTCACCTAGCCTGACCCCCGTTTACAATGAGTTCAGAGGGTCATGTGATTCCACACAATTGCGGTTCGACATAGATATGCTGTGTTAGGGCCAACTCAAGCATAGGCCAGCAAAAGATGTCATACATGTGACACGAGTGGGGATAGCGCCGAGGGGATTGTGTGGTAATTGGACAGGCGTGTAATGGGATACGATAAGTCCGTCTCACAATCCCTGAACCATATTATTTTCACAACCGCGAAGCCCTTATCATCATGCTTATAAGCCAAGGTGAAGCAAGTCTAGATTTCCCAGATTGTTGTTTGAAGAGAGAATAGGTAATTGTACAACTGCTATTTCTTAGTTATTCTATCCACTTTTGCTGAGAACAATCTTCAGCTCTTTGGAGTAATAACAACACTTCCAACACCCTGATCCACCCATGCATATCAAAGGCCTCAACTGAAAAGGGTCACCCTGATATTTGTTGCGCAATAATCTTTATTGCGTGAGGGACTCGTATTTTGATGAGTATTTAAACACAAAAATTTCATTGTGTGTCACTTCATACAGTATGGGTAACAGAATGTTATCCCTGAATTGTTTTTTTTGTGTTTTTTTTTGTTATTTAGCGCCGCACTCAATATTTCAGCTATATGACGGCGGTCTGTAAATAATCGAATCTGGACCATACAATTGATTGATAGCATGAGCATCGATCCACGCAATCTGCAAGTCAGCGAGCCTCACCACCCGATCCAGTTAGTCACCTCTTAAGACAGCATAGTCGCCTTTTACGGCGAGCATGGGTTGCTGAAGACCTATTCTACCCCGGATATTCACGGGTCGCAACAAAATGAAGACTCACCAGAGCTCATACCAGATACACAGGCATCACAATTACAGCAAAGGACATGCTTGGGTCCTCACATTGGATTCAAACCTAGGACTTTGGCTCGATGAGCTAACACACAGTGCCAAGTATCATTAGACTGGGATGACAAGAAGAAATAATCCAGATAATTTTTACTATCAAATTTGATTGAGTAGGTTTTAAGCGGCAGAACAGAACAGAATTTCATTTTCATATTGTTTCAGCTTATGTCAATATGTTCCGATAATTGTATGGATGAATGCATAATTAAAAATGTGAATGTTTATGTTTGAGAACGTGTTTCTTCATATCATTCTTTGCGTGTCAGATTATTGTTACATTTTGACTACCAGAGTAAGTAAAAACAGTTAACACACAGGTAAGTATCCATATGAGTAAAGAGTTGCATTGTTTGTGTGTTTGTTTGTTGTTTAACGCCGCACTCAGCAATATTCCAGCTATATGACGGCGGTCTGTGAATAATCGAGTCTGGACAAGACAATCCTGTAATTGACATCACGAGCATCGATCTACGCAATTGGGATACGATGACATGCATCAACCAAGTCAGCGAGCCTGACCACCCGATCCAGTTAGTCGCCTTTTACGAGAAGCACAGTCGCCTTTTACGGCAAGCATGGGTTGCTGAAGACCCATTGTACCCCGGATCTTCACGGCTCAAGAGTTGCATTGAGTCCGATTGTTAACAATATTAGACATAATTATGCTATATATAGGACATAATCACGTGCCTGGATGTCAACCAGCTTTCACGTGCTATCAGCATGACGTCATGCATATAATATACACCAGTAGCGACACAACACACCGACACGCTCTGTGTGTCGATGTGCACGTGGTGGCTCAAGTGTAAGTTACTATAAACAAATTAATGTTGTTAAAATGCGTATCTCTATAAATACGTATTACTGAGATAAATCAAACAGCAAGCAAGGAAACCCCACGTGATTATAAATCAGTGGAATAAAGGATGTGTTTGTATGTCCCAATGTATAACGTATTAGTTGGTATGAGAAAAGCACAGTACAGACATAAAATGTAATATAAATATTTGAATTAAATACTTTATGTCACGGTCACGTTATAGTGTGTGAGCATTGTTTTACGCCGCATTTAGCAATATTCCAACAATATCACAGCGGGGGGCAGCAGAAATTGGCTTCACACTTTGTACCCATGTGGAGAATCCGGGTCCTCGGCGTGACGAGCAAACGCTATATATAACAGAAGGATAAGGCGAGCATATACGTGGTAGTTTGAACGATATTGAGTCAGTGAGTGAGTGAGTGTGTGAGGTTTTACGCTACCTGTAACAGGTCGCTAGGAATGAACATCACACATTGTACCATTGTTAGGAATCGAACTCAGGAGTGAAGAGTGAACACATTAACGACTGGGCCACCCTACATCACCTTATCATGGGGAATTCAGCATTGAATGCGTACTGCATATACCATGTACAACATAAACTCACCTAGGCTTGGTGTCCTGTAAGGACCTCTGTCTACACTCACCACAACATATGCAAGATCTACCTTAAGATGGAGTGAGTGAGTGAGTGAGTGAGTGAGTTGGGTTTAACGCCGCTTTTAACAGTATTCCAGTTATATCACAGCGTGTCACCTTAATGTGGGAGGAAAGCCCGAAGTGATGCAGGTCTCAGACGTTTACCACTTCGGTGAAACCCACGGGTATGGTGCTGACAAACCTAGAAACATAATCGGGGCGAACCGGGATTCGAACCCACAATCATAGGTTTCTGGCGCGCCCAAGTGACGCAACTCTGCACAGCGAATCGCGGCGCCGACTGGGCCACCTTAAGATGGAATACGACCGAACCATGTGATACTACGTCAGCCAGTTTCTATTCTAACACTGACGTTATCGTGTATATGCAGATATGTATTACATAGTCACAATACATCCATGCCGTCCCATGACTCCAGTGTATACAGAAGACCCTTATATGAAATGTATACGTCTAAATATATGGCTTACCAGACTCAATTCGGAGTGGTAGACGCATGTTTGTATTTCCTGATTGCTATTTCAGAGAACGTCAATCCATGTTCATCTTTTTTTAAAACGAATGCCTAAAGAAATGTAAAATCTTATTCGATGATCTCAGAAAGTTAATTAAAACCATACTCGATTTTCCAGTGCTGTACATCGTATGTATCATAATGGTAAGGATATATATACACTGGATAATCGAGGTTACATTAACACTAAAACACGTGGTATAATAGTTTACAGCAGGATTTGGAACAGCTTGCGTTTGTAAATTAATGTACCGCAATCAGACAAATCCAAGCTGCAACACTGTCGAGATATCCGTCGTTCGAGAGATGCGGAGTGACGACTTGAAACCAAGTGCAGGTTCGGATTCTGCTGTGGCCGTAACAAGTAATAATGTTGAACGAGGTTTGATTGCAAGCATACTATCAAGGAGCCTATATAGTGTTTGGATAGTCTCTCAGCAACCAATTCTTGCCGTATACGGCGACTATGCTTGTCGTAAGAGGCAGCTAACGGGATCGGGTGGTCAGGCTCGCTGACTTGGTTGATGCATGTCATCGATCCCAATTGCGTGGATCGATGCTCATGATGTCAATTACTGGACTGTCTGGTTCAGACTCGATAATTTACAGACCGCTGTCATATACCTGGGATATTGCTGAGTGCGGCGTTAAACAAAAAACAAACACAAAACTTCCTGATACTATCGTATGACGTGGCGTCCATGTAGTGATAGTGCTATCATGTGTATGTAGGGACTCACTGACGTAGGGTCACCAGGCATGCAGGGTCATAAACCTGATTGCCCCCTCCGCCCACTCTTCACTTCAACTTGAGCGTAACTTATCGGTCACTGTCCGTCATGCATGGCTGATCGGCTATGTCCCTATCGTCCAACTTAAACTTTCTGTTCAATGATTTGTTGGTTTAAAGCATAAGCTCGTATTGGCACGGTTACAATGTGTGAAGGCACTGAAGTCCATCCTTGTGAAATTATTAACAACTGGGAGTCCCATTGATACTCCCAATGCTCTACCGAGTCTCGTTGTATGAATCGAACCCGGGTCTTCGGCGTGACGAGCGAACGCTTTAACCACTAGGCTACCCGACCGTCCCCGCTAGTAAGACCCTCTTTAGATAAAGACTTAATTATCATATCAATATTCTAGATAATATACATGTATACATTGCATATACTCGTGGACGCGAGGATACATATATGCTTTTAAAAAGGTTCTTTACAGGTGAGGTGAAATTGGGTTTAATGTCGCGTCCAAGATTATTGCACTTATATAGCGACGTGCATGTACGTGTGTGTGGCTGCTTGTACTAGTCCGGACTGGTGCCGATTTATAGTGCTAGCTCACTGAGATACCATGCCGCAGTTTAACATGAATACCCCACTCAGACACAGTATACTGGAGCCGACCAGTCCTTGTTTTAGCCCCTTAATGCCGAGCGCTAGACAGGGTAACAACAAGTACCATTTTTCACGTCTTTTGGTATGAAGCGGCCGGGGATAGAACCCCGGACCTTCCGCTCTCATGGCGGACGCTCTACCACTAGACCACGGAGGCGGTCTGGTTCCTTAAAGGGTAAGCCTAGAATTCTACATCGACTTGCCGTGTTTCTTGCATCTAATTTTACAACCTAAAATATTACCTTGGATGGTCTCGTTTTCAACATCATGCACAAATTCTGGACAGAAACTGTCCGAAAAGTTCCCCGCTAAATGAAATGCATATCTTAAATTACCCCTAGAAATATAACGACCATCAACATCGGAGTATTACATACAAGAAATAATAAACGAGCCCTTTTGTACTTTGGGACGTGGCTATCATTCACTGAACACGCATACACACCTCACAGGTATAGCATAACACATTCATTAGCAATTATATACATCTACCGCGGAATAGGTGAATAATGGTTTCTAGCAATCAACTCACACATTATGTCAATGGATTTATGACCGTGAGTATATTTCCCGGAGATGACAAGCAACTCCATACATCAAGTCCGTTTGTGGCATGAAATGTTCTGTAACTACCTTTTTACAAAATTTTACTATTATTGTTTACAAAAATGTATATTTCTAAATCTCAGTTTGGACGACATATGATACTACCTTATAATCCCTCCTTCGTTTTATCAAATATATACCGAAAAGATAAAGTTAGGAATCATGAATATTTGGGGTGATATCCTTACGAATGTGGGCTTAGTCTACAAAAAATATTCAACAAAATATTCATGATCCATTTTTTTGTTCAGTATATATTCTAAAACTGCACACGGGCCATGATCAGTGAATCTGGCGTTGTAAACTGAATTTGGTGAACGCTGCATGTGATGAGGCAGTGCACGTAACTGGAGAGCGTGTTGAACTACGTGATGAACATACGACTACACAGTTGACGGAGTGTCCGGGTTTGTGTCGAGGTTGGGATAGGATGTTGGCGTACGAATAGGATGCAATTTGGGCGTGGGCGTGAGTGAGTGAATTAGTTTTACGCCGCTTTTAGCAATATTCATGCAATATTACGGCGGGGGACACCGGAAAATGGGCTTCACACATTGAACCCATGTGGGGAATCGAACCCGGGCCTTCGACGCGACGAGCAAACGCTTTAACCACTAGGCTACCCCATCGCAACTGTATGTTGAATACGGCATAGTTTACTGGATATGATTGTATGACTTACCATTCACGTGAAGATCGAGGTTAGAATTGGTTATCTAGGGGCGACTAACGGGATCGGGTGGTCAGGCCCGCCGACTTGGTTGATGCATGTCCTTGTATCCCAATTACGTGGAATGATGCTCATGATGTCAATCACTGGATTGTCTGGTCCAAACTTGATTATTTACAGACCGCCGTCATACAGCTGGAATATTGCTGAGTGCGGCGTTAAACAACAAACAAAACAAGTATGACTTACCTAGCTGAGGAATCTGACTCTCCATACTGTTGACAGAACGATGTCACCGTCGTCTTCGTTGGAGTGTCACTCGCCGGGTACGTTGTACCTGTTGTACCTATATTAGAATACCAAGCGGGTTAGGACTTATACGCTCATAAACATAACGAGGTGACCCGAACATCTTACACTGACATAGAAGTTATGGAGATAACTTAACACACATTAACATATCCTAGATAGAGCCTTCACTGTTGACCTGTACAGCGTTTTTAGATCAAGGATAACGGATGTCCTTTATAATAGCTATACAGCGTTAACGCAAGGTATGTCACATGTATGCATCACAGTATCTGTGTAGATTTGTATATAGATGTATTAACTGCCGGGCAAAAGAAAGTACACGCTTGAAAATTGGATTTGACCGAAACATTACTATCAATACGGGGCGGTCGGGTAGCCTGGTGGTTAAAGCGTTCGCTCGTCACCCCGAACACCCGGGTTCGTTTCCCGACATGGGTACAATGTGTGAAGCCCATTTCTGGTGTCCTCCGCCGTGATATTGCTGGAATATTGCTAAAAGCGGCGTAAAACCATACTCATTCGCTCACTATCAATACATTACTAGGCTGAAAACAGCAACCGAATAACTGCAAACTTAATGTCCAAAACACAACTATAATACCCGTATCAAATACATCACCATCGAGTAACCATTTCATGTTTGTTTCAGTTTTAGCCACCATCAAACATGCGCGTATACTTTCTTTTGTCCGCATAATATACGTATAATTGTGAATTAGAACCAAGAAACATATCACATATGTCTAGTCTGTCTTACAGACCCCGATACAAATATATATCAAATACAAACCCATGCAAGTCTATAATGTTTGGCAAGTCTAGATCACTGCAGTATCTGAAAATGAAGAGAGTCACTGGGCTCCTTTTTATTATATTTTTATTAAGATAACTGAACTGATTTTTTTTGTACGGTATGTTCATTTCAGAGACTAGATTTTAGTCTACATATATGTCATACTTCTTAATGGAACACGTAGGTTTTGTGTCTATATCACATGACTTTTGATGTACAATGTGGCCATGTACCGTGCTTGTCTCCTACTAAGATGGGAGATCTCAGAGAGGTTAAACCTAACGACCGTAAGGTCAGTCTAACAACTCTCAGTCTCAAGCCATTACTAATAGATTTTTAGCCACCATCAAATATAATAATATATTCATTTACCCGGCTGTTTATGATTAATAGAATAACGCTCAAGGGTTGACTGTTGAAATGGTTTATATATGTTAATGCAATGCACGCTAGATTACCATGACTAAGTCATAACAGAACACAATATTTATCAAGACATGATATAGTCGATCTGTGCACGAGAACCAAAGTCTTTGTATAAAATTGGTTTAACAACCACACCCTTCATAGTGTTATTTTATTCATTGTGCTGCATAAGTTTCAGTCAATTTGTCAAATATTCTGCCTAATATTTCTATCAATTTGTAAAATGACTGAAATTAATTCATGTTATAAAATGACTGAATGAATGAGACATTTTACTAAAGACAGATTTTACACATTGATTTTAGCATATGCTCCTCTAGCAGAAGACAAACATACATAACACAGACAACGAGCGTTTTAACGCCCAAGGGTTGTCTAAAGGCTGACAACGCATACTATCTATATGGAGAATATCAACTCACCTCAGCTAATGTCTGGTAGTAAAACCTTTGTCTTCACTGTGAACCTGTAACCGAGTCCTCTCTCCAGTGTCACAAACCTTAAAATGATGCCGAATTCTTACATCATAGAAAAAAATCACATGTACAGAAACCTTGCTGCTCGAATGATTCTCCTTTTGTGCATAAGGTTGTTAGTTGAAGCAAAACGGGTAAGTGTTCAGGCAGCCGTGAAGTAAACAACGTCGGTCCTCCTAACAGTTTGGAGCAGCTGTAGGTCTGCCTGCCTTTGTCGCCGCGCGGTGTTAATCAAATCCCAGATGTAATGCAGGAACAATAGACAGGTGGATGTCTGTCCGACGCTGGCACCAGACGGTGTGTTCTGCATCCGCACGTGCAATCGATGTCAGTTCTCGCAATATACGGTTACGATCTCGTGCTCGGGCGGGAGGAATGTTGCCTAAAAATAAACAAGTAGATCGGCATGTTAACCCATATGTCCTTAGCCTAGATATATCTACACTGTGTGTACGGAGGGTCGGACGTCCAGAAGAGCACTTGATGGTTGACTTGGCAACCTGCGTTGTGATGATGATATTGAATATATATCTGCACAGATTGATCGGCCCTCTAACAGCATACACAAGCCACTTGTCAAGACAGACTTATAGCTTGAGGCCGTTATAACGAGCGTTAACTCATACAGAAAGCGGCCTTATATTCTATCTCCCTTTCAAACTGCTGTAAATGGGAATGGCAACAACTTGGCATTCACCATAGAAAATACAAAAGAAGAATTACAGTTTAAAATCGAAAGTCAAAATTGAAAACCTATGGGACCCACCTAAAATCCAGTTCACTTTACATTTTGAAATGTAGAGATTAAACTTGACATGAATATCTAATAGAAAGTAACAAGATCCTAGAGTTTGTTTTGACGTACGTATGTATGAATATATGTTTCTCTGGGACTGGGAGAGAGGTCAGCGAAGGGCCATGGACGACGCTCCAGGCCCGCGTGTTGAGGCGTGAAGACAACAACGTGAGTTTGTACAGGCATAGTCTGTTTTACAGACTCTGATACCAATACAGCCATGCAAGTCTATAATGTTTGGCAAGTCTAGATTTCAAGAATCAAGAGAGTCTCTGGGCTCCTTTTTATTATTTTTTTATCAAGATAATTTGACAACTATTTTTTTCTGTACGATACGTTCATTTCAGAGACTGGATGTTGGTCTAGCAGAGGCATTATAGTCTCCCAGACCCTAGAGAGACAATTAAAAAGGAGTCCAACTCAAGTCTAGAATGATTTGGCAAGTCTAGATTGCATCAGTTCTAGCCTAAAATTAAGGATTGCGCTGGGCTCCATTTGGATTTTGTTCTTTTTATTTTAAAGATATATATTCTTAAATAAGATAACTTTATTTTGGGGACCAAATTTCAGTCTACGGCATTTGTAAATAACCTTTCCATAAGTGTGTTTTATTGTGTATTGTGTGTGAGCTACTGAAACTTGCAAGACTGTTATTTGACGTGGCTCTGAAAGGATATATTCGCCATAGTCCGTTTTTGACATTTATGACTGGCTAAAACACCGATTAAAGTAATATATCGTGTCAACACGCACGTGGGAAAGCATTTATTAAAAACCTATCATGTGGAAAGGGATGTGCACAGATTTGTAACATAAACAAAGAGAGAGAGGATAATTGTACTTAATTGATACTAAAAATACTTCTTGTTTGAACTTTCGCACGCGTTTGAAACAATTGTAGAATCAAGCAGCTGGGGACTGATTACTTGAACAATTTCGGTATTGTTGTTTCACAAATTACATGATGATATCCATCATTGTGACAAGACAATAAGGAATTGCATTATGTTTTAGGATTGCCCATCCATAATGCTATGTGACCGCAACTGTTGTTTGTTGTTTAACGCCGCACTCAGCAGTATTCCAGCTATATGGCAGCGGTATGTTGATATTCGAGTCTGGACCGGACAATCCAGTGATTGACATCATGAGCATCGATCCACGCAATTGAGATACTATGACATGTATCAACCAAGTGATCGCAACTAAGTAACGTGGAGTTAAATGTTTTTTTGTAATCGCTGTGCTGTAACAGTTTTAACATCCGTGCGTCAGCAATACTTCTAGATGTACACTTTACACAAAGTCAGCATCCACCATCCTCCCGAGGCAAGGGCGTTAACTGACTATAAGAGGCAAGGTTGGTTGGTTGGTTTGTTGTTTTACGCCGCACTCAGCAATATTCCAGCTCTGTGACGGCGGTCTGTGAATAATCGAATCTGGACCAGACAGTCCAGTGATTGAAATCATGAGCTTCGACCCACGCAATGGGGATTGATGACATGCTTCAACCAAGTCAGCGAGTCTGGATGGGACGAGAAATATTTGGACATGGTTTGCTTTCGATAACGCAGTTACTCCCTGCTTTGTTTAACTATCCAGCTTTAATGTTTGTTTGTTGTTTAACAATAGTCATCGTTACATCTGCTACATGACGATTACGTTTAAACAATAGAGATTGGACCAGACAAACCAGTGATTAAAGGCATGAAAAATTATCCTCGCAATCAGTCAAGCTACGGAGCCTGACCACCCGATCCAAGGACAGGGTGACTGGAAAGTATTTGTAACACGGAACTTCACGGGGCCCGCCCTTTAAATGCCAGACAGTAAAGGTGAGGTAAAAATTGGGTTTAACGTAGCGTCCAAAATTATTGTGTGTGTGTGTGTGTGTGTGTGTGTGTGTGTGTGTGTGTTTTGTGTGTGTGTGTGTTGTGTGCGTGCGTGCGTGCGTGCGTGCGTGCGTGCGTGCGTGTGCACACTAGTCCGGACTGATGCCGATTTATAGTGCTAGCTCACTGAGATACCATGCCGCAGTTTAACATGAATACCCCATATACTGACTCCGAGCCGACCAGTCCTTGCTTTAACCCCTTAATGCCGAGCGCCAGACAGGGTAAAAACAAGTACCATCTTTTAACGTCTCTTGGTATGACGCGGCCGGGGATCGAACCCCGGACCTTCCGCTGTCCGGGCGGACGCTCTACCACTAGACCACTGAGGCGGCCGCCAGCTAGCAGACGAGCTTCGATGTGGAGGTTGCGTAATCTCTCATCGCTAATCTTATACATCCATCTGGAACAGCTAAAGGTGTTACGTGTTACGGGTCACAGTTGTCACGACAATAATTACACCATCTGTCCCGCGGGATGAAGCTCATTTCCTGAACAAGAGGAGTTGTGACTTCACAGGCTGCTGTTTCGTGTGTAGTTTGATGGTTATTACATCAGCAACATCATGCTACATCCTCTGTATATGTATTGTATTCATCGACCGATATTGCTATGGTAACGACAATGTAAATATATACACAAGATCGTTTTGTTGGTAATATTTTTAAGAGGTGAAGATGTGAGGCCTAGTGGTTAAAGCGTTGACTCGTAACGCCGAAGACCCGGGTTCGATTCCCGACATGGGTACAATGTGTGAAGCCCATTTCTGGTGCCCCCCGCCGTGATATTGCTGGAACATAGCTAAAAGCGGCGTAAAACCCTACTCACTCTGGATATACAGTAAACAGGCAGTAGGGATTTTACAAGGGCTTCTCCCATTTTCAACAATTTGTTTTATAAATAGAAGAGAAAAGAAGCAGAGATATAAATATTACATAATGATTTCTAATGTTATTTCCACCCACTTAATAATTTACTATTACACCATAAGTATCAAGGATGTTGACAAGTTTACCAACGCTGCTAAAGCTCCATCAAATCCTTCCAGGAACGCGCCAGTCGGTGTTTGTTGTTATCAGACGACTTCCGGTAACGGAAATAAAGAAACCGAGCCTGCCCGTAACGATTCAGCCTCATTATCATCTACAGATCTCATTAGTAAGATATCCCCTGACTCGAGAACGTTCACCCCAGACAGATGTGTCCGCCCACAGCCTTCAAATCTTTCCCGAGACTTCATTTAATTTTTTTTAAAAGTTGGTATCTCTACTACTGGAACTCCATCACACTGGAGGATTTGATCAACTTTACCTTCCCTAAAGATAGATGCATGTGGCTCTATTGAATTGTGAACCTGGTACACACAATTCTGACAGAATAGTCATAAACTTTGCTTGTACTATTGTTTGTTGTTTAACGCCGCATATAACGCAGCTATATGACGGCGGTCTGTGAATAATCGAGTCTGAACCAGACAATCCAGTGATTGACGTCATGCGCATCGATCTACACAATTGGGATACGATGACATGCATGAACCAAGTGATCGCAACTAAGTAATGTGGAGTTAAATGGTTTTTTTGCAATCGCTGTGCTGTAACAATTTCAAAGTCAGCGAGCCTGACCACCCAATCCCGTTAGTCGCCTCTTATGACAAGCACAGTCGCCTTTTACGGCAAGCATGGGCAGTCTATGAATAATATAGCTGGAATATTGCTGAGTGCGGCGTTAAACATCAAAGAAACACACCACGTCTAACTTAATTTAAGGTCGTGTAAGTTCAACACTAATACTGACCTTCACATTACTTCAAAATGGGTAAAATGACCATTTCACGAAGTGCATCCCTCTTGTAGTGACGTAATCCATATTTTATTGTGCGTCAAATACCCTGCCCTTGATTATCCAGTGTACTATGTCCCCATTCTATTATGATAAATACCCTGCCCTCGATTATCCAGTGTACTATGTCCCCATTCTATTATGATAAATATCCTGCCCTCGATTACCCAGTGTACTATGTCCCCATTCTATTATGATAAACACCATGGACCCATGTATCGGCGCTTCGCAAGTGACGTCACTATCCCCAAAGCTCCTACCTCCAGCACATTATTCCTCTCGCTCTTGGACGGCTATTTTTAGCTTCATGTCGTTCATAGCTCAAAACTACACTATGGTAACGAATGGGTATAGGGTATTTGTCAAAATAGAATAGAGATATCATACACTGGATAATCGAGTGTGGCAATACCTTCCCTTCCTGCATTCCCGAAGCAAGGGAAATAACTGACTGTAAACGTCCTGTATATATAGTCAGTTAACTCCCTTGCCTCGGGAATATGCACTTCCTGTTTTTCAAGGTGGTTCTATTTAAAAAAGCTTTTAACCTTAAGTTTTGTGAAATGGTGTTTCTTTAGGTCCTTGTCAAGGACGTCCTCAAAATATTAAAACTGGCGCAGCATTCGCTACACAAGGTATGGAGCGTGACTACAGGCCCGATTATTCGATTAGTATCAATTAAAACTCAATTTAATTTAAGCGCATAAAATCCAGTCATTTGTGAACAAATATTCTGCATGACATGAGCAGTGTGTCATACACTCACCACGATGCAAATAAGTCTATTTGAAGAGGCCTAGTATCTAGCGTTGGTTTTCAAAAAAACGAAATGTTGGGAAATAGTTTTCCAGAACCAAAGGGAAACGAAATGACAGTGTCACAGACGCCACCACTTAGTCAGGCTTTACAATGTATGCACCAGAGTTCATACATAGTCGATGGGTATCATCCTGTCGAGGCAAGGGAGTTAACTGACT